TCCTTTTTGAATGAGATTATTCAAAAAAAAAAATTAATCAGAATATTTTTCCCAGCAGATGCGAAGATAGGAAGTATCTACTAAGCTACAACCAAATGTACTCACGTCCAGGCTGGCGAGGCAATACCAACAAAAGACGTGCTTGCACCTTTTGCACATCATCTGCGCGCAGCCTTCGTCTTTTTCGATAGGAACGTTGCACATGGGACAGCATTTGATGAGATCCGAATCAAACGGTATGCCGACGTCTTCGGGTTTGCCCTCCTGCAATGAGATCATAATTTTTAAGTGAAACTTAACTGAATTATCTCGGATGAGGTATTTTTGGAAAAAATCGGCAGTGACTGTTTTGGACGATAAATAGACGTCCACTTTTCGCGTCGTGGCCTAACGATTCTGTACTAGCCCGAAAAGTAGATTGGGAAACATTTAAAACACATAGATACAATTTTCGCGTTTCGTCCCTTGTTCATTGGATAAATTTGGTAGAATATGTGTTAGGAAATCTTTTGTCATAACTTAAGAGTGAATTGTGTAGTCTACCACCAACTCTGAGAATTCCATTATCATCTAGAAAAACACCAAGTTTCCTTAGCGGTTTAGAAGCGACCTTATTGGGCTTTGAACTATAAATATCTGAAGAAAAGTATTGACTTTGAGTGTGCTTGAGCAAAGCGTGCATTTCGTTCTTCAGACATGAAGCGATGAGCGGAGATAAAAAATCGATTGGGATGATACCCCTAACAAGAGATATTGGAAAATTGGCAAGAGTACACACATCAATTGCATTGTTTATCAGATATATCTACAGGGTGTTCCTTAATGAAAGATAGATAGATAGATAGATAGTTTATTGTCCTGTTAGATCATGTTACATGATATAAGACTTGTCAATATCAATTTGAGGGTCATATATGCGTTTGAGCAAATATGCCAGAAAAATACTTATAATTATAAAATAAATAAGGACATTACAATTACAAAACATTTTAAAAGGTTAAATCACATTATAGGTACAGGTACGGTGCAAGAATCGTAATGTGTAAAAGTATATACATATAAAGCGACTATTTTTATCACAAAAAATGTTCGTCTAGCCGGTAAAAATCATTGAAGCTGATACAAAGAAAGGAAAAGCGGTAGGAGAATCTGTTGAAGTACATAATATATAAACACAATAAACATCCAGCAGTGAGGACAAATGGTTAAAAGCTCAAAAAGAAAACATACATACTTTCGTTAAAACTCGACAAAAAAGTGAAATCAAAATACATATACTCCACGATAATAGACAATTCACTGATAACGAAATGATTTTAAAAGAATTTAAAAAAACAGATACTTTCATGTGTTAGTAAAACTCATGTAGAGAGTAATAGCATTTTTCAACCAGATATTTCCTGAGATGTTTTTTCACCGCAAGGATATTAGTGCTTCTCCGCAACTTACTAGGCAGATTATTGTATACCTTAGTGCACGCTAGAGTGGGAGATTTTTGGAATAGGGCAGAGTTATGTGTCGGTATACTCAGATCATGCCCTATTCTAGTGTGGTATTGACTATTAATGGCGTTGTTACGAACAAATCTATTGCTATGTTCAAATGCGAAGATGGCACATTTGTAGATATAGATGGAAGTTAATGTAAGCAGATTATAGCGTCTAAATATTTCTTTACAAGAGTCCCTCTCATTGATATTAAAAATTAATCGAAGTACTCTTTTCTGCAGGATGAATAATCTGTTAATCATTGTTGCCTGTCCCCATATGATTATATTGTTAGTGAGATGAGAATAAACTAGCGCGTAGTACATATCTAAGAGTGAGTTTAGATGGATGTTAGGCTTTAATTTCAATATTGCAAAATAAGCACTGTTAATTTTGTTGCAAATGTGATTTATTTGTGGTTGCCAGCTTAACTTACTATCAACATGGGTTCCTAAGAAGACAGTTTGTTCTGAAAAGCTATCAGTATCCATGCGTGGTTTCTTGTTGAAGAAATGAATTTCAACAGTCTTATCTTCATTCAAAATGAGGCGGTTAGACTGGCACTACTTATTCATTTCACTTTTGACTTTCTCAATAGATTCGAGAAGATCCTGCGGTGTCGTGGCACTGACGACGATAGATGTGTCATCCGCATAATTAATCATGAAGCCAGACAATTTCAAGTCATTTATGTATACAATGAAGAGCAGTGGTGCAAGTACTGAGCCTTGTGCCGCACCTATATTCACGGAATATTGAGTTGACGTATGACCATTGAGTTTCGTTTCCAATTTTCTATCTGTGAGGAAAGACTGGATCCAGCTGAGAATAAAATCCCTTATACCTAAGCAGTACAATTTTTCCACGATAAACGAAATATCCATTATATCGAACGCTTTCGAAAGGTCAAAAAATAGTCCAGCAACGATATGCGAATATTTAAAGGTGTGAATCTACATGAAAAATTAATGTTAGTTTGCTTTATAAACTATGGACCAAAAATGTTTCCTTACACTTGGGGTGTTGAAGTTTTAGGAAAAACATGGAAATTAATTAATATTTTCAGAACCGCTTCAGATATTTCACTGATATTTAGTACGTAGTGAGAAAAGGTTCGACTATCTGGCAAAGCACGATCTGGATATCTCTGGTGATAAATCCGTCTGGCTTGCTCACCATTACCGTCGGCAAGGCCATATACGTAATGTATTTCCGCCATTTCTGCATTTGAATAATTCACTATTATTAACAAGATTGTAAAAGCTAAATAATGAAAAAGACGTCACAGCAAACAGATTTGAATAACAGAGATTTGTCAGATGTCAAAAGCCTGTAACATATTCTAGAGCAACTAGATACTTATTGCTAAATTGCATTCTTCAATTATTAAATTAATTTACTCGGACAATAGAACGGTTTTTATTTTTTACTCAAAAATGGCGCATCGAAGGAAAACAATTCAATAGAGATCATTTGTTTTAAATTGAACGGGGAATTCAAAAATAATTTTTATTTGGCAAAAAACCATGGCGTACCATTTTTTTTCTCAAAAAATATCGAAGTCAATACCCCTTACGCACGCCACTGTTGAAGCTAAAAATTATTTTTGCATTGAAAAATATGCAGCTTTATCAACTTTCACTACGTACTAAATATCAGTGGAATATCTGAAGCGGTTCTGCAAATATTAATTAATTTCCATGTTTTTCCTAAAACTTAAACACCCCGTAATTAAACATTTTTGGACCATAGTTTATAAAGCAAACTAAACTTAATTTTTCATGTAGATTTACACCGTTAAATATTCGCATATCATTAAGGAACACCCTGTAGATATATCTCATAAACAACTATATCACTAAAACGGAACGTTACTGGTTTAATACGGTTAAACGGAACACCCTTGTATCTCACCCCCTTACCTCTTGGTGCAAGCGGATGCTTTGGTACTACGGTTTCTACCAGGAGAGAACAACAGAAAAGAAAGAGCCACGGCGTACATACGCCCGCGCTTTTATAGTGCTCGCCAGTGTTCTAGAACCGACCTTGGTTGCTACGTCGCCGCCACTGCGAATCTTCTTGACGTCGTGACGCCAACGCGGTGCATTTGATTGAATCAAAAGTATTTCTATTCGATTCCTTATGGCGTACCCTTTAAAATGAGTACTTACACCCGTAGGGCATCTCATTCCAAAGGGCTAGATCAGACCCTGCAGGGCCTATAGCCAGTTCTAGCGTCTCCCCGACGACCGGCAGTGCATCAGCTCCGTGCAGGTTGCAATTCCCGCACGATGACCACTCTAAAGTGCTTTTAAAGCTGTACTACAACCAAAAGGGACCTTAGTACCTTTTTGCCCACTGCTAGGGACCTTACACGGCTCACAACACCAAGAGGCTTGTATGACAAGTCCCCCAAGGCATCTGAATGTGGAAGAAAGACTTCTCATTCGTTATAAGGGCACTACATGCCCATTTCAGCCTGTGCCTCAATACGCCACTTTGGCGTATTGTTTTCCCCTGCAAATCCCTGAACCTATTAGTCCTGCCTCATAACGGATTCCTGACGTCCTGAATATCGTCTAGTGCTACCACAAGGCTTAAAAATTGATTTAAATCATTTCATTCATTATAATAATTTCTAAGACGGAAAACGAAAAATATCAATTTCTGTCCATTTCTGTGTGTAACACATGGCAACAAAAACGACTGTGGTATGTCATAAAACATCAGGTTTGCTTGAGTATTCGAGACTCTTTATAGGATACAAAATAATATATAGAACAGGGCACTATCCCACTTTTAGAATATCGGAACTGTATTTAATGGCTAATTTAACATCTTCCAGAAAACGTGAATACGAGGGGCGGTCAGAAAGTACGCAATTCATGGCACCGAAAAACAAAAACATCATTACAATATATCATTCAGTAAGATCTTAGAAGCCAATGGATGATTGTGCTCTTCATGTTTTGTTAAGTGCTGGATAGTTTTTAATGCTAATTAGGCGAGCAACTAATGCCGAAACTGACAGAGTTCAGAACATACTCCTCAAGTTGAGCGTCTGGTGAAAATCTCCATAAGATTTACAGATAAATTGACTTAATGTTAGCGGTTATAGCGATTTGTGGCAATCTAAAATTCAGAAGAAGTTGACTAATATCCTTCTGGAGTTTAGGACCTGGCATAAATGTGTCATTTAGCGATAACTGATTAGAATCTAGCATCGAAAACAACTCTTAATTTTGTGGTAGTTGATTCCGGTTTAAACACGTAATGATGCGGTATGAAATAGTCGTTAAGCAAAGAAGAATGAATGTTATCAGATAAAGAGATATAATTATTGTCTATCATGTCTTGTATAGAATTCGTATAAAGAAAGGCGTTTTTCTAAAGAGCAAAATCTTCCTCATATTACCACCAATTTTATCCGAAACAATATCAGCAAAATTTAAAGTAGGCTGCGATTTACTTAGAGGGGTAACAGTAACCGAAATTTGGCCTAAATTATTATACATTTCCATACCTCCTAGTCCTTAAATAGTGGCAGCGCTCATTTTTATCGGTAAACCTAGTTTTTCTGCGAATTAACAACACTCACTACCTGTATCTATGAGTACTCTACCGGTTTGCTTATTTCCCAAATATTAACTTTCAGCGTAGAATAAGCGAAATAATTTGTAGTTGGCTGGGGGATACAGCTGCGGATTCAGGGCGAGTGGTCAGCGTACATTCGGTATTTGAAATATGATTTTTCAAAATTGAAGATTGTGCGATTTCAACTACAGGCGATTAAGGATTATTAGAGGGTTGCGAAGCATTTGTGTATTGAATAACATGAAGCAGCGAGTGATGCTTGGCGTCACATATGCGACATGTATGAACTGACCTACACATATGTTACTGTTAGAATGACAATTACTCAAACAGTTCAAATCGTAAGAAGCACACTGGTAAAAATGAAGTCCCATTCAGCTACGGGAGAACCAAGATTTTTCAATGCGGCAATATTTTCAGAATATGTTTTTAGTAGTTTCTTGAGTTGAGCGGGATTTTCAGAATTCATGCGTCGCGTGAAGTTGCTAAAAGCCGTTTATTAGTATATAAGCTACTAAATAATTGGACGAAGTTAAAGGATAGCACTGTAACATACCTTTAGCAGACCCATCAACAAATGATATTAAATGCGACAATTTTTCTATATTGGATAGAGTTTATTTGCTATGAATTAAGGCATCAAAAACATCAATAAATGACATGGAGGATTTAATATCCGCTTTAAACCTGATCAGTTTTAGTTTAGGTAGTTTCACTCCGGGTGGAACATCGGACATTTCAGGTCGAGTGTCTCTACCTCAACTCTTTAACCTCAAACAAATCATAATAAATGGATTTAATGGAATAATATTTATCAACCCCAATGCGAATGTTATCCTCAACAAGAAATTTCTCATCTTGGTCAGGATCTAACATACCAATTATAGTGTTATGGTGTTTATAGAAACTTTCATATGAAGACTCTATAGTTTTATATCTTTGTATGAACTGCGAATGGAAATGAAGGTTTGAGCCATTTTAGCAGTGTCAAGGTACTCGGAAATCTTATTTATTTCCATATTACGTAAATTCTTTTCCCTTTTAAGTTTGTCAACTATGGTTTGGAATCAAGACAAAATGTACCTGAGTACTGTCCTGTGGTTACCTATAAACGCAAAAAGTGTATCTAATGAATTGATGCAATTACTGAATATCAACCAAAACTGACAAAATGCTCCAGAAAAGGGCGATGAAAGGCGAATCCGTTGAGAAAGATCAAAAATATGTATTCGAGTGGACTGTTTCAAAAAATGATCCGGTATTTTATTCTAATTCTGGTTCCTATCCCATCAGAAGCGTTCCTGATGCTCTGGTCGGCGTGAAAATCGCGGGTGTGAAAGCGGTTGAAGTGCGAAGGTTTGCTGTGAACTTAACATATCGGCATGCTGTATTTGGCAGATTATTTAAAATTGCATGTCTGCCTATTTATAATCCTTGTATGTAGTTGGCATCATTATATAAAATATGGAGGGCCAACAAGCATAGAAATGAGCACACTAATTAAAAGTGACTAGCTTATTTACAAAGAATTGTGAATATTTTACATTAGTGTTTTCTGTATGGTTTAGAATTATCAAGAAGCGGTACAATGAAGTGAGACACTTGTGGTTTGAAACACTCAACATGCATTTGTAATAAATCTATCTACTTATATTTTCATGTAATACAGTTTTTATACCATTGTCAACAGCATATGAATATTTTTTGAAACGTAAATAAATTTGGTGCTTCATAATCAGGGTTGGATTTTATTATTCCGAACCTGTTTATCTGCAAAACTGCTGAAAGATATATTGGGGATATTTTATGAATATATCGGAAATATCATTTTTGGCAGATTTCAAGTTATGAACAAACGAATTTCCCGGCTGCCCGGCACATTCCTTATTCCAGGCCCATTCTTGGCATTTTTTCGATAGTTCATCCAGATCTCCAGGCAAGTAGGCAGCGCAACCATCTGACAAACGGTGTTGCCATTCTTTAACGTGCAGCTCTCATTTCTTCAGCCTTATGTGTTCTGTGGCCCTCATGTTTTCTGGATGCCAACGTCAGGTTGTTTCGGCAACATCGCATGGTTTTTTATTCTGCCGAATGAGTTGTTCTCCCCGTGATATACTCTACTTTCTACTAGGCTCTGCAAGACTATCCGGACTATCCGGTAGCGGAATTTTCCCAAAAATCGTTACACAATATAAAATAATGCATATGATAATTGACTCTTTCACGTTCGAAATAGCTCCGTTGGTACTCATCAGACGTTTTAACATCGTCACCACCAGGTTTTCCTTGTTCTTGTACGTATAAAACATTTTTTATAACATTCCAGCAAAGTAGCAGAGGTAGCAAGTCGTCCGTTGAGCTGGCAACTCCGCAATCCAGTTGACAAGAATAACGTGGTCAATTATTGAAATGTATATATCTATCCCGGGATACCGACGGCCCTTTTAGAACGTCAAAGCAGCAATTTTAGAATTATCATTTTTTTTTTCATGTTGTGCCACGATTTCGGAAAAAATTTCGCTGCGGATAGTCTTTTAGAGTCTGGTAGAATACAATTCAACAGTTGTCTTGCGTGGCCATGTTATCTTTAGCCGGGCCAGATTTTCCTGATACGAATTTGCAAAACGATTTTTATTTTTGTAATGCAAATTTCCCAAATACTAAAATCAAATTCAAGCGGATAACCAAAAGAAAATGGTATTTACCATTTTGGGTTGGTATTTACCGATGCGTTCAAGCGAGTGTGGTTATCAGTTTGGTTATAAGATCCGTGACGTCATGAATCAGTTGTTATATGTCATAGTTATCACCGTAAAATTGTGGTATTTACCCAACTGAGGAGTTGTTTTATATTTCTGGTTATTATTTGAAATGTGACAAGTTAGAATTTTGCCGGGTATTGGATGTTGTTATTGTACTTCAATTTGATACAGGCTGACTTGAGTTTTACCATAAAGTGGAGCACCTTTTCAATTATACTCATCACTGTTATTGGGGGCACATTAAATGTAGTTCCTATGCTTAACAAAGTACCTATCCTGTGTAGCCATATATACCACAAGAATATTAAAATATGGCCATATAAACTCATGATGATGTCCACCTGTATTCGGTTTTGCTAATATCTTTTTTCATCATTTCTGCTGAATCAATAAATATTTTCTTTGACATGCGGAAAACTTTAGAGAATTGAAAGTTATCATAGCTACAAAGCCATGGTTCCATCATTAAAAAAAAATCTGAAAAAGAAAACATTTCTCCCATGAATATTATGAAAGGTTTCTTTTTTAAACTAGAGTAGACGAAAAAGCACCGATTATTAAGTGATAATAAAAATAATCAGAAATTATAATACGCACTTTTCTAAAATAAACAACTTGCAACAAAACGCGGTTAAAACCAACGCGTTCAAGCGATTCGTGTAACTGACGTCATCAACCCGTGTGTCATCTTGAACCATATAATGTCATAACCGCGGCACATAACACAGACATTTTGGTTATTCGCTTGGATTTGATTATTGAGGCTAATGGCAATGGCGTACGCTGGCACTTAAACCTTGTGATGAGCTTGAATATTTTGATTTGGTAAAAATTAATTAAATCATTTGGTATTCAACCTTTTCATCACTACAATTCCAAAAAATTAGCGCTACCTATGCGCCAAGAACTTAAACTACTTTATAATAAAGTAAAAATCTTTAGATTGAAAATAATGAAATGAAATTAGCTAGACTAATGGTCACTAGATGGAGGCTCGAGTCAGTTTCGGATTTTTTCAGATGAATCGACGGGGTAGTTACGAATTTATGAACTACTCAGTTGACTAGTGAATATACATTTGAAAGATGGTTTTTATTTTTGTAAATAATTAATCATTTTTTATTTTTTAATCAAGTTCTTTTACCGCAAATGGAGCGAACGTTTTATACTTGTTTTTAACCCTAATGTACCTACAGATTAAATTTTAGAATAAAATCAATACATACAATCTTCTAGTTATTGCAATGAAATTGCTTCTGTTCGTATAGCATTAAGCTCTAACCGTCTCATAAATATGTACATACTGTAACAGGAACTTCGACCGAGGCTCTCGGACCGCTGAACATCGAGCCTTGACTTCGGATCCCCAATTCATTACTTCAATTTCTAGATTGGTCCGAGCCTGCACGAATTTCCAATTCTGTTACCTTTTACTTGTCTTCCTATAGGAGGTAGACTCGCGTAGAACCTGACATAAAGTAATATAATCTTAACTCATTGAAACACTCACTTTACGTGGAATGATGCTTCCTCTGTTCTTCAAGTAATCCAGAGAACGTGGTAAACGCCCGAATGAATACTTTCGGAACCGCCGAACTCAGTTAGCTTCAGTTAACGAATTAAATAAAAGTCAACTTAGAAGAGACAATTTTTATTGATAATTGAATTCCAGACTCAAAATATATAAGCACTCATGACAATGTGAAACGTAAAACTCATAGGCTGAGGAAACGATCATTGGAGGATTAATCTAAAGCAAACTTAATTTACAATATGTAAGTTTGAATCTAATAGCAAAAACTATTTAAACTTAAGAATCTCAACTTTACAATGCTAATTAATCAAGGCAATGTATAGAATGCTTAGTTAGCTCAGCGTTATATTAAAAGAAAGGATAAGCCCTTTTGAAGTAACTGAAAGTGTTTACTGATGTGAACACAACTTGACACAAATTAACCAAACACAACACTTATTAACAGCCACTAACTGAAGGAAAATCAAAGCAACTTTTTTAGCCGTACAAATCAAAGATAAGGGATGAACTGAAGTTTTTCAAAATCGGAGGTCAGTTGCGGATTTTCCCCTCCATCGTTCTTACTTAGTAAGTTCAACCCTTGTTTCCTCATTGGTTGGCCAGTTTACAACCTTTGCAATGGCCGTCTAAT